TGCTAATAGTATTTATTAATGAGGGTGGAAAGGGATAAATGGAATGGAGAATATGAGTTGTGGGTATCACAAAGGTAAGCATTTCCATTTTAATCTTTTTTTTTTTTGGTTTTTTGAGACAGGGTTTCTCTGTGTAGATTTGTCCATTTTAATCTTAAAGAAGATGGGATGGAGAGGGAGGACAATGAAAGAGACATCTTGACAGAGTGAGCCATTATGGGGTTAGGGAGAAATCTGGTGCTAGGGAGATCCCCAGGAACCCACAAGGATGTCCCCAGCGAGACTCTTAGCAATGGTGGAGAGGGTGCCTTCCCCTGTACTCAGATTGTCATCATAGAACCTACCAGTGATTGATGGAAGCAGATGCAGAGACCCAGAGCCAAGCACTTGGCTGAGCTTCTGGACTTCAGCTGAAGAGAGGGAGGAGGGATTATAGGAGCTGGGGGGGAGGGCACAAGATCATGATGGGAATAACCACAGAGACAGCTGACCCAAGCTAGTGGGAGCTGACAGACTCTGGACTGACAGCTGGGGAGTCTGCGTGGCCCTCTGAATGTGAGTGACAGCTGTGTGACTTGGCCTGTTTGTGGGTCTCCTGGCAATGGGGCCAGGATTTATTCCAGGTACATGAACTGGCTTTTTGGAGCCCATCCCCTATCATGCAATGTTTACTCAGCGTTGATGCAAAGGGAAGGGACTTGCTTCTGCCCCAACTTGGTATGCCAGCTTGTGTTGACTACCCAAAGGAGGCCTTACCTCCTATAAGGAGTGGAAGTGGTGGGATGGAGGAAGTGGGAGGAGTGGGTAAAAGGGAGGGGGGACAATGGTTGGTATGTAAAAATGAAAAAATGTATACAAAAAAAGATGGGGAGCATGAAGATACCATGCTTTGTCAGTCTATACCCTTCTTATATTTTTATAAAGGTTTTGCATTTACTTGTGGAATGTAATGATTCCAAAGAAAATTAGCTTTTTAAAAATCAGGAAAAAAAATCAGAAGTCTGAGTAGCAGGGGGATTAGAGAAGCAGCCGCCTCCATGGACCACATCTCCATTGTCTCCTTCACCTCCAAGTCAACGTCACTTGCCCATACCATTATGCTAGAGCTGTCCTTTTACTTAAAGCTTCCTTGTAGGTTGCTCACTAGCACTGCCTAATTAGTCCCTGTGGGCACCTGAATTTACAGCCCTGTGTTAAGGCAGCATCTACAGATGTGTTAGTTCCACACCAGTACCGCTCATCAGTTTCTGAGCCGGAGCTCTGCACTCTCAGAAGATCACATTGAAAATTATTCCACTTAAGACTTGACTTAGCCCCTTAGCCTTCCTCCTAACCATTCTCTTCCTTTCTGTTTCTTTCTTGGAGGGTGTATTTTTTTTCTCAATGACAGCAGCATTCATTCCCAAGACTCAGCAGGGCCCTCAACATTCTTCTACCAACAGGAAACCTCCTTTCATTTTTATGCTACATAAGCAGTTATATTCTAGTTGTTGATCTGTAGTCAGAAATGGATAGGTATCACTTCAAGAGTGTTTTGCTCTCTATGGTTCCCAAGGGCTCTTGCAGGAGATTTTTCTTAGCATACAGTTTAGCGTGTGAGCAAACTGCAGTGTGTCACCCTGCATAACAGAGGCCATCTGGGAGGGCTGCAACACAGACAGTAGGCTACTTTCTTGTTTCTGCTCCCAGGAGGTGGTCATACCAACGTGGTTCTTAAGTCGCCTTTTACAATGGACATTTTCACGGTTGCTCCCTTTCTTAGTGTCCTGGTACTTCCAAGGCTGGGGTTGGGAGGATACCATTCAGTTTTAAGTCTACTTGTCTGCCTCAGAGCCTTTCTGATGACCAGGGGAACCTTAACTAACAGACAAGAATAAAATAAATTCTGATGCCTAAAATGACAGCGTCATACCTAATGAATTGTCGGAACCCTGCACGTATTATCTTTGTCAAGTTTCTTTTCACTCTACTTCCAGATGTCTTTTCACAAATTCACTCACTGCGAATGCTAGGTACAATGTCTGAGCATGTCCAATATATCTGGGATTTGGTGTCACTACTGTAAACTACTTAAATGTGAGAACTATTGTGTGACTTGTACAGAATGTGACATGTGCATCACTTGGCCACACATGGTGCTAGCTTCTCGTTCTCATTCATGGACACATTCTGGAAACATAAGCACTAATTCCATGAAGAAAGAGTGACATTTATTTACAGTATACCCATAGAGATGGGGGGGGGGGTGGGAACAGTTTTTCTAGAAGTAATACAGTCCAGTAAGCAACTTTGATTTCTACTAAATTAGGTTCAAATCTGGTTTTGGCCATTTGACTGTTTCGAAAGGAAAGATAATCTATATTTGTCTGTGAAGTCCAGTAAGGTGAAGGAAAAACTTGAGACAAAGGGATACAGAAGGTACAATAGTCTATGTTAGTGATGACCTAGTCTACAAAAGAGTGGTAAGTGAGTTAAAAACTGAGTTAACTGCTGAAATGAGAGGAGGCAGATCAATGGGGATGATTGAGCTTTTTCTTTTTCTTTTTTTTTTTTTTTTTTTTGTAT